GTCGCGTATTATTATTTCATGGCATTAGACGCATCATCAGTTATAGGAAAGGTGTCAGTACGTAACGCGCCTGTGTGCGTTCGAAATGCGTTATTTTATATATTGGATTGTATATTTGTTTTCTAATTGTGAATAAATTTTGACGAATCCATATCGTACGCGAGGAATCTTTGGCTAGTTGTGTTGCGCGAATGCTTTAGGATGGCAAAGAAAAGAAGCACTGTATCGTATACCAGCTATTAGGCAGCTATTAAATAAAAAACATTACGGATACAAAGAAGATTATACTTGTACTTCTTTATTTTGTGCTTCATCACACAGCGATTATCTATTGTACTCCAAATTTATCTTAGCTTCACATTGACCTATTTTGTTTTTTATGAAATATAAAAGTCGTTTTTAATATAAGGTCGTTACGGTGTTTAGTTAATGTTAACATTGTTGTAGTGATCTACAAAAGGTTGTATTTTTGAACATTCGCCCAGTGTGGTGAAAACCTCATTTACGATCATTATTAATCATCCGGAGTAATCGTACCATCGCCAAGTTAGAAATACAAATTTTTAGCACTTCGTAGAATTTGAATAAGTCGATAGACGAATATTTTTGGTTTAAATCCTGGATCGACACTTGCGTATTGCATATCTCACTACATTATTTTACTAAAAATGAATTATGTTTGCGAATACGTAAATAAGTGCTTAAATACACTTCCAAATAAAAAAAGGATAATACATGCCTTTCCAATTACGGTATCCAGTGGACATGTGCTTACACGCGAAGCGACGTAGGTAGGTATATCTACTATAAAAAATGTAAATATCAAGTATCTCATCACCATGCTCAAATTGTCTATTTTCTCAATCGCAACTTGCTCTAATCGATTGTTTTTTTTCCATTGGCAATACCAAGCGTTGCTCCCGTGGCCCTCGATACAAATTAGCGGACGAAATCGCGCGCCGATGCTAACCAACCGTGTCACGGAAACGCTGCGAGTAGCCGCATCGCCCTTCGATGTCGTTATTTGGATTTAGTTGATTCATAAATGACATTACTTCTGGTGAGTGAGGTAATCGGGGCCCACTTATTAACAGGTGGCAACGCATCTGCAACCATATAGGTGTTGTAAGCGCCCATGGGCGGCGGGTATCACTTAACATCAGGTGAACTGCCCGATCGCTTGCCACAGTCATCGCATTATAGAAAAACATTTGATTTATGCTTTTTCATATTTGAAAGAAACTTTCTGTGTCGCAGAAGATTTTACAATTGAAACAAAAATTTATGAATCACACATAAATTAATGCGTGTCACGTGTGGGGATCGAACACACAACCCAATATAAATCGTAAGTCCCCGATGCCGAAGCCTATAGCTTAGCCACTTTACTATAAATACCGTTGATACTATTCCATTTATGTTTGATTCAAATCGCTTCAGCTTATGATGTTAATCTTTATTGGGATCACACTTTTTCATACAAAAAAAGTTTCAAATCGGTGTAGTCCTTTGATGATTATGAATTATGATTTAGAAATGGACCAGCCTTTTAACTTTCTGTGCATACATTACATCATATAATTTAATTTGCTCTGTGCCATAAGCGCACGACGATATTGTTTTAACGTTATCACGTGAATAAGCGATGAGCTCTCTGTTATAATAGTGTCATAGAATTTTATCTTATGATTTAATGTATTTTCTTACTGCTTGTTTCATCCATTTCTTTCGATCTAACATATTTTCATCTTATTACAACGTTTTGTCGATGTTTTAGAAAGATGGCAATGTTTCAGATTTAACTTTGTATATTTTCAATAATGAGCTTTGAAATTAATTTAACTTTTTATCGATATTCCGAAAGCCGCCCGCTAAAAATATAGTCTGTCTCTAGACTTGTATTGATCGCGACGGCACGCTATTTTAGCCAACTAAAAGTTGGTTCCATTCCTCTCCCATTTTTGTTCATACAACTAGATAAGGTAGAAGTGCCTCGGGCTATGTATGTGTTATATTTTAACGAATGATTAGACAGTGATAGAATTGTATTATTTTTTTTTGTATCGCAAACTGTTTGTCGAAGATGTGTTCAAGTAGCTTGTAATTGTATAAAAAAAAGAGGATTTTTACCATACATATATACAATTTTACAAAGTGGTGTATGTAACGCAATGTGAGTAAATACGTTTTCGTCGTGGTATTTTAACCTGATTGCTGTTAAAACACCAATTTGGCTTTAGACACTGGTAGGACAGCATATGCCGCTATGAATATCTGTTGTCGGTTCAAACACCAACCACCAAGGCCTCTCGTTAGTAAAGAAAAGAATTGAATTATGTATTTACGGTTTTGCGCTTCTTCTAGTAAGTGATATCATGTGATGATTAGCAGAGGACCATCTTCGCTTGGTTGGCAACGCATTCTGGTGTTGCGTATATCGTTGGTCAACGCTTGCCCGTTTGCGAAATTCTCTTGTAAATTGAATGTAATGGCCAATTATTCAATGGTTGAAATGAAACGCTGAATTCGCACCGTGGACAAGCGTCGCCAAGCGCGCACATATCGAGGCGCCCCTTATCGTAATCTTATCTCAACATCGCAGTATCAGCTTAGCGAATACGTTCCGAGTACGGGCGTGATACTTTTGGATGGTACGTTCTGAAGGATTTTAATTGTTTGATAGCACCGAACAAGGTCCGCCGATTGTACTCTACGTACTCTATAAACTTGAAACTTTATTGGATTCGAATTTAACGGCGCACGATCTATTATATGGGCATTTTAATGTGATGAAATGTACATCATAAAATATAAATGTACGTAAATGTTATATAAGTATACTTCAAAGTGGTTTTGCACGGTAACAATTCACCTGCATCTGGAATTGTTTATTAATTTAAATTAGTTATACATGTTTAATAATGAAAAATATTTGAAAATTATTTATTTACTTTAGCTTAAAAAATAAAACTATTTTACACCTTAAACCCCTTTGAAACTAAGAGTTAATGCGAGTTGAGTGACAACTCGCATTAACTCTTAGTTTCAAAATTTATTTAATCATGATTTTTTTGAAAAATTCCATGCAGAATCATACGTCAAACATTCTTCACCTGCAGTAAGGCAATTGACACAGTTCTAATTGATGATCAATAACTGCGAGCATCCGTCTTTCCACGTACAGTGTATTTGCGAAACACGGCGTGACTATTAAGTAATAATTTTAAATGATCCTCGTAAATACTGGTTGATTAAACGAACATATTCAAAAGAGACAAAACGTTATCATTTTGGTCAGTTTGGGCCCCTATCAATGAAATGTATTTAAAGTATTGTCCTTGCCTTGTTTTTTGAAAACGACTTAATGTAACTATAATTCTAGGCACCAAGGAGAAGGTTTTAGATAAGTTGTCAAGTCATGAAAATTTAAAATTATAAATAACTTTAAATCATGTTAGATTAGAAGAAAACAAGATGTGCACATGTGTCGTTATCGTCGGTAACAAAATGTGTGCCCGCATCGTATATTATGTTTCGGCAACGCTCGCTTTTCTTGTGCTGTTACTACTTGAATGAGAATAGTTATCGCTCAATTTCGATTTTTCTGTGAGTGTAAAGCAAGAATTTCAAAGCCTGTCTGTGAGAACTCTTAACATGTAAATGTTATAAAAGGCTCTGCACTAGTCATGTTTGTCATGATTTGGGACGAGAAAATTTATGTGTTTGATACACACTTCGTGCTTACGGGTGTATTGGGCACTCAAAATTGTGCCAATAGAGATTAAGATGACAAGAAAATTATGATAGTTTCGCTGTGGTAGGGCCATGCATTAGCCTCTGCTGTTACACGGATGGGTAGGACCGTCCGGGGAATTACCATGGCTACGAGGGAGCCTGGCGTGAAGTTAAAGTGCAAGTTATACTTTCGCGTTTTGTCTGGTGAGTGTAGTACCGGGCCCGGGTGAGTGTAGTACATGAGGTGATCCTTTCGCTCGCTTGCCAACTTACTTTACATAAACAAAGATGAGAGCCACGATACCTTACCGCATCTTGCTTCATCATTATCATCATTTCGTTCTGGTAGACTACTTTTTCTGTCATTAATGGCATGATCCTGAGCCATCTGCATCCATCGACTTCCCCTGCACACTTGCACACTCCATCTAGTGGGGGTCGTCCGACACTGCGATGGCCAGCACGAGCCTTCCACTCGAGAACTTTTCTTCCCTATTGTTTATCGGATTTACGAGCTATAAGGCCGGCCCATCTCCATTAATCTTCTGGGCTATATCGGTTATCTGTGTTCTACTGCAGATATCTTCGGTGGAAATAAATCTCGTATATTGCTTAGCAATCAGTATCCGGTAGTTTGCAGAGTTGGCCCTGTCAGTGGCCAGTAATCGCACATTGTAATTCTAGCCTCTCTTTTGGCGAAGGGCGTTTATAGGCGACGTTAACGACACTGTGGTGCGCGGGTGATATTTTCTTTTGGCCACCGATGTGTCATCGTGTATACAATTTGGGGACTGAGTGTTTTATACCTACTTGTTTTGATAAAGCATTCGAACACGGGCAATGTCATACTAAAGTAATCTTTCCCGAATTGAATATCGAATTTTATAAGCGTTACTATTGGCCCACTATGAATGGAACAACGGCATATTAAGTGTCGACAACCCACTTGGCGTAGTGGATAGTGACCCTGTCTATTGCGTCAGAGGGTGCGTGTGGGTTTGAATCCCACCATTGGAAAAATATTGTGTGATGAACATACTGTTTTTCTAGTTTTTGGGTATTTATAAATCTATAATATGTCTTGGTTTACAAAAGAAAAGTACGTTTAAGTATTTTTATCTATTATCTAGTACCCATAGTACAAACTTAGCTCAGTATGGCACTAGATAACGGTGTGTAAAAATATGTCCCGAAATATTTATTAATATATAAATTAATGAAATACGTATATAAGTATTTTACTTTACACAACATGTTTGTGTATAATGCAAGAGCCAAGCTGGGGCTCCTACTCGATAGATGGTTACAATGGAGAAGTATTCAAACTTATGCGTTTCGCCTGGCAACTTAGGTAACCTAAGCCTATAAGTGGTGCCAAGAACTTGTTTCACTGGATGTCCTCTCATGTTTGTTTCTTACCATATTAAATAAAATGCCGATTATGCATACGTAGATGAAATTATGTATAAGTATATAATAGATTATACTTATTTCTTATTTTATTGTGTCGTTCATAAAGCTTAAGTATGAGTTACTCTCGTCATTTTATAGTCGATTGTTGAAACTTGTCTAATAACATCTCTAAAATCTATTATACGAGACAATTCGCCCGAGACATACATAACTATTGATTGCGTCGCACTTCAATGCCAACAATGGCAATTGTTCTTTGCGTAATTCAAGTGGTAATATATCACGCACTTTGCACTAATAACGTAGTGGCATGGTGCTCAGTTTTTTGTGTGTGCGTAAATTGTCTGTTGCCATTTCGCACCCACACAGGTGCTTCGGCGCACGAACGGACCGTCCAGACCGCGGGCGTCGCTAATCCGGAAGCGCGATTTGGGACGAAGCGTGCGCAGAACTTGGCCACTTGTTGCGCACCCAGACGGGCATATGCCAATTTGCCACAACCGATTATCCAATGTTACGAATTTGTTTGCCAAAATGTCAAGTGTTTCGTCCTGTTGAATAACAGTTCCCGATGCAACAATAACAATGATACACGCGTAAAAACAAGAACTCAGTTGTGTTGGTCCAATTGGTCGTAATGTTTTTTTTTTTTTTGAAATTTCTTATCAGTTTGTTTTTCAATGAAAGCGCAACCGTAAGACTTCAAGGGCGCAGACACAATGGACCCGCATAAACGGGAACAAAAATTGGCCTTCGCTCGATACAATGACCCGCCTAGCGCATTTCCGTTCTGTGCTAGTCAAAGCGATCGATACGAGAGCGGCGAGCGAATAGAGGACAATTGATCAGCTATCAGCATTAGCGATGCGGAACGCCGGATATGGAGCGCAGTGAGACCGGGGCCTGTACTTGGCGCACGAGACGCGGCCGCTGGGCACAATGGCCGGGCCGGGGGCCACAATGCCCGCGCCACAGTTCACGCCGATCTCGCGGCGGAAGGGCGAACAATGGTTCCACAATTAGTCTGCCGGTGAACAGCCCCGCGTTATGAACGGCCCACAGACTCACACGATCGCATTGTCACATCGCTACCAAATGCACTCTGACCGTTGACCACGTCTAAACCAAATGGTTTCCACCCCGTCTAAGTACGAAGGAACGGGCGGCCGATAGGACAGTGAGATTAAGACCACCGACAAAAGTCGAGCAACATCACCGATAGACGCAATATAAACGCACGCTTTCGAAAGCCATTAGCGCAGTTATCGAAGCCCCTTGGAATGGTGTTGCGTTGCAGGAGCGAGCCACTTTCCTCATCGTTCGCAGCTAATTTCAATCGCAAATATGGAGGTGCGGTGGTGAATCAGACGTGGCGTCGTTTGGAGACCAGCGTACGGTACGCGTCGGCGCTCACACGGCCAATCAGCGGTGCAGGGGCCGAGAGGAAACGGAACGGACGCCCCACCGAACACCGATTCTGGGTAATGTGAGGCAACGGCGGTGGAAAAAGTGCACCCAGTGAGACGTGTTGCGCAAGCAGGCGCGGCCGCCTCGGGGAGTGCGTTGGCCACGCGCGAAACATGCAGTCTCGCGTGTACTAATTGAAATTGTCTTATCCGCGATTTCAACCTACCGGTATGCATGTTCGTGTGTAATGTCGGCCTTTCCATCGTAATGTTATCGGCTGAATATAATTTCAACACCAATAATGCACTCCGTGGAGGTATTTTTCATAGAGCTCTGCTCTCGGAAAAGAAAAACATAAAACATGTACGATATGGAAGTACATATACATATTCTCTGTAGAACAATTGTTTAGTCAACGTTCGTTAAAAAATCCAATGGCAAATGGAACCATTTAAATTTACTCGAGCGCGAAGGATTTCCAGAGTTGTTTGAGCTTGTATTTTTTATCGTAGTGCTTCGTTACAATAGCATTTTAATAGCGTTCTCTTGTTTACATTTTTTCATTCTTAGATAGCCTTGTCGACGTATTAAGTTCAAGCGTTAGGGGCGTTCCGGGCGAAAGTGCGCCGCCGACACGGTTGCCCGTGGGCGATGCGTCACCATGTGATACGCCACAATGAATTTTTAATTTGACTTTGTTGAGCATTCGTCATGAGATCGACGGTTTGGAAAATATCGCCAAACCAATATATTATATTCAAAATCAACCATTAGTGGGCACGAAACGCTTTCAAAGTAATGGTAAAATACAGTTGAAATACCGTAGAGTTAAAAACGTAGACAATTGATGGTAAACACACAATCATTTACACTTTAAAATGACCCGAGTATCGCAAACGCAACAAATTTACTGTAGTCGATTTAAAAGATAACAGTTTCCAACACCAATTCAATATATCTGTATGTGCACGTCATCAAGCGAATCCTGTACTCAAATTTCATGTTTTCAACAACGCCAATCAGCGAATGCCCTTTTGTTTTGACGAGTCACGTTTTGGTTATAATCAGGGTCAAATCTTTGTCGTTTCATACACACAATCATTATTCAATTCCTGGATTTCGTATTGTATTACTTTCGGACACGTATTACTGACGAAGCAAATGTATTGCACTGAATTGTTGCAGTGACCGACCTGCTCCGTTTCTAACGATTATGAAGTAGTCAACAATATGTCGTATTCAATGTTGCGGATGCATATTCGAGTTTATTGCTTTACTTATATGTTGAGGCCGAGAAAATAATACGAATCGTGCTCGTCTCGAAGAGAGCATTGGAGCGTTGGGGCAATTGTTCAGCTGATAGCTCCTGAACTGGAGCACGATGGCTTGTGTGCCGTCATTGTAACGCTCGTCCGATATCACGCGAGCGTTGGCTCCATTTATTTATTGGCAATATCGTTTAAAATAAATGTATGCTCGGTAACTGTGTTTGCGCTTACTTATTAGCTGAGATCTAGTTAACCATCTTTAAGTCCCAATGTTTTAAGGACAATCAAGAGTATAAGTGGAACTACTGGTGTAGATCGTATTATACTTGTTCCGCACGAGAATTGTATTCACGACCCGCTGCGCCGAAGCCTATAACTGTGCCCACCAAGTCATCCTTTTGATCGCTTGACTTAATTTGTTTTTTATTTACCTTTTCAATACTTTTGCTATTTCATAATCTTTATATATCTTTATGAATATTTTTTGGAAATGGTTGTCGTTTCTTAAGCGTCTCAAACAGAGAATCATCAAAAATAACATATAAGCGAAAGTACAAAATAGTATCAATAGCATTTATCTAGATCATTACTTCATTACCGCTGTTTACATGGCAATTATAATCCTATTAATGATATAAGTAAAAATGTCCTTATGAAACCTTAGCTGCGATCTGCGTTTAAAATTTTATAACCGTTCATCATCATCATCACCAGCGAGCATCCACTAATACATAGAGTATTTCAAACACGCCAGCAGATAACGGTTGTGTAGATGTTATTACTGTTCAAACCGCTAAGCCAAATACAATCGATGGTGTTTGTATTGTGGGGCTAGTGTGAGCCGTAGATGGTCGGAGTGGGTCGCACGTCCGCGTTCGGCGCTGGACGTGTGTGGAATGACTCGCAGCCCCAGCACCGATGAATTCCTGCGCGGACAACGATAACGAAATATGCGAAGAAATGCAGGAAACTGCGCTGAGCTATTCCATTCATGAACAGAGTTTACTTAAGCCACAAGCGGCCCTTGCCGGCCTTGCGGCGATCATGTTTCGCGGGAGACTTTGTAGCAGGCGTATGTTCACCGGTGGACTAAATTATAATATTAGAATTAAAAATAATAATAATAAATAATATACATGACCTGCTATGTAACCGTACAATTGTATAACTCTTTTTAAGAAACATCGCTATTTGCTCTCCGCTTAATAATCTTAATGTCCTTACCGTAATGATACTCAAACTTAGAGCATCAATCGTTTATAATTGTTTTTTTATCTTGTGTTGTAAGGACGTTTTGCAAACATAAATTTCACGTGGACAAACACCCAGATGCGAAACAACTATATGTGGGTCACGTTCACACAAAAAGTTGTCCTGTGTGGGAATCGAACCCACCACCCCCTACGCCGAAGTCAACACTTTGGCAACTTCGCCACGGAGTCAATTCATTATAAATATGACTCGGTTCTTTTAAGAACTGAAGGTTTTAGTTAAACCCTTTGCTGTCACTAAAGTCTAATGCTAGGGGGTTACTTCTTTTCGTTTGTACCTTATTTTGGAATTCTCCGTCAATAATAGGTATAAATAATTACGTGTTAATCATTAATAATCATAATTGAGATATCGCCTAGCAATGGTCGAGGTTATAGTCTAGTTGTTTATACATAGATGTGCAGCGAGTAATTGCATGTGGTTCGAAAAGTATAACTGGTGATTTACTTTCAGAGGTTTCGCATTCGACCGCAGGCGCGTGGAGCTACGGCAGTAAGCAGCATTGCCCTCAATTTGCTTTACATGTCGTGCTATATATTCCGTCCCCGCCATAAAGGATATTTATATCGCTATCATGCTAGCAATGTATCTCTCCCATATGTGGTGTAGGTTAGTTTCACTATTATACACACCTATCCTGTTAATTTTCTATAAAATGGCTTTTCTAATCACTGGTTCGACTAGATGCCCCGCTTGAATAAGAAACCAAAAGCTAAATGTTTATTCGATGTTACTTACGAATAACCCACATTGTCAGTACGGTTGGACAAGTATTTAGCTTATTTACCGTATGCAAAATACAATATAAACATTGCGATTTGCGACCCTGAGATTCCTTTTTGTCCTTTGCGGAAGTTATTGAAATCATACTAGTGATGTATTGCTTAAGTCGTTATTGATTCATTGATTTATTTTAAACGTCTTTGTATACTGGAAATTTAAATTGTTTATAGTGCTAATCTTTGCACATATTTTAACGTCTTTGTATACTATTAAGGGACAATTTAGCACTAGTCGCCAATTGGGGTAACCATTTACATTTCTGGACTGCGGTACTGTGTCGTTGCGTGTTTGATGTTGTACAATTTTTTTACTATATTGCTCTGAGCAAGTTGTGGCGGCTAATGTTTAGAATTAAATATCTGTTGTTATAGACAGACGATTCTATCCCGATATTGACGTTGCTTCGCCATGACTTTGAGTTAAAAATGACTCGGTAATAAAGAAATTATTGTTGATAAACAATAAGTGCGAAGAAAATTGGAGTCTGGAAGAAATTTTATTCGCACCATATGCGTGTAAAGCTGATCCTTGTTAATAGAGAGATTTCAAAGACTCGCGCTCCACCATGTTGACGTTTTCATTTTATGTCTTCAAATTACAGAGTAGTAAAGTCGTTAACTAAACGATTATACGATCACAGTGTACTTGACACTATCATTTTTATTACATTTTTGTTTAGGATTATGGAAAGACTCGTTCGGGAAATTACCATGATCTCGCAGAATTATTATACTTTTGCGTTTCGTTTGGTGAATGAGTTCAGAAAAGCAACACAACGTCAGCAACACCACATGCTATTATACAGATGAGCGACGGTAATTACTCATAAAAAAAGAATGAAAACAGCAATTAATAATTAACCCGAACTTTGAACTGCCGTGATCACCATCTTTTATTGAACACATATGACTTCGCATCAATCTTTGTCGCAATTATCATCGAACGTTAGTGTTCAATTTACGTATTATTTGTTGTTGTATAAAACCTTTGAATTCGTAAGAGCACATTAATAAATATAAACTGTTTTCTACATAATAATATAAGATAGTGACCACTCCAGTCCAAATCCGCACTGAATAGAGGGCTCACCGGCAAATTTGATTCGATCTATTACAGCGAAGTTGTCCGCTGAACGGAACGACACCAGAATTCCAATATACTGGCCAATAAAACCAATACAAGAATGCTTTCGGTCAAGTACATATTGTTTGTGATTTTTTTTATCGGTGAAAAATCTCATTGTTATAAAATTATTGTCTGTACCGTTTTCTATGTTATCATACAACCGTGTTCGTTGTTTGTACACGTATTTTCGTGCGACGCTCGGGCGGGCCAACCACTGTTTTATAGTTTGACCGTCCACAGGACTTCGCCCTGACGTCACTTTCAAAGGGGAATGTCGCGGTCTCGTCGTTGTGATATAAGGCCAAGTTCGTGCTTTCGGTCTGGCGGGAGGTGAGGTGGGATAAACGGCCCACTAGTCCCGCGGCGCGAGGCGCTCAATTGGCCGGTGGGCGGCGGACGCGCATCCTCCTCAAGCCGAGGATGCAGGTGTCCGCGCCACCTTGGAGCGGTCGCATCGAGGAAATTGCCCTCTACGACGATTTACGACGCTCTCGGGGATACATTCGTCTCGGTCTCAGTCGCGTGTAATTCGACAATCGCGTAGCTTAAGCCCCACAGGATGTTATTCGTTTTAGGGGATCGTTGGTTGAGTCTGAGAAATGAAGGCTTGTTATAAGAGTTCGCAAGGTTTCGGTGCAGATGGCCGACTCCCACTAAGGAGTAAACAAAACTTTTACTTAACTTTAACTATTTCGGTACTAACTATAAAATTGTTCTAAATTTCGGTGTTTAATTAGCTGCAAAATGATAACAGGTCTAACCTCCATAATTCCGCGACTGACGCTTAAATTTATCACAGTTACTTCTTTGAATTTAGTCCATTCCATGGACCAGTTTCCCTTTTAGCTTTGAAAATTCTATCTAAACCCCTCCGATCCGGAAGATCCGCTATTTCGTTATCTGATAAAAAATTAAATTAACCACGAGCGCTACTTATAATATCTAAATGCGAACAACTTCTAGACACGATTTCGTTTCTAGTATTAACAATTTAATGAGTTGAACTCGCCGTTAGTTTTATCGATCGCCGTCCGTCGTCAAGTAAACCACCGCGACGCGACTCTACAATACTGCATTTTACCGACCGGCTGCCAGGCTAGGACTCCTAGTTCTAGTCCTTCAATACGCTACAGATTCGAAAATAAGCTATACATATATATTCGAAGTATAAAGCTGACCTATGTACACGTTTGATATTTGAGACATGCGTAAATACTCAACGTTCGTCGCCCAAAGACATAGGCATATTGTGTTTCCAATTTTCACGTACCTTGCACAGCTCTATTGCTCCTTCGGAATGAACACATGAGCAACTACATTAATGTATCATCAACAAATAAACAGATTCCCACAAACTGTACAATGTTTGAGTACAAATTAACTGTATCATAATAGTAGTAATGCATATAATGTATGTATGGGAGGCTAGTTGTCATGCACCCATATAATTTGAGTTGGATTTTCTCTTTCTAAATCGCTGCTAGACACGGCACTCGCCGCCGAGTAGTCGTATTGACCTACAATCACTTTAATAAAAAAACACAGGCTATTTGCACGTATACCGTAAGAGCCGAATTCATGGAGTGCTCCTTGCAATTTATACACATCCTCTCAAAGGCGGTCGTGTTAATATTGCCAAAGGCCCTTTTTAATCACATCTCCCCGAATAAAATTACTTATAGTAATAGCTGGGATGTTGCCTTATCCGTAAGTTTGTAGGTTCGATTTGCATCTGTAATCGGACGACTAATAGACCTTATTCGTCTGTTTCGCAGATGACTAAACACTACGATATTTAGACACTTCTGGTATATTCTGTAAGCTGGACAACTAGGGTTTTTGCTCTACAAGAATTCACGGCTAGGCGATCGTATAATACTAATAGACTACTGTATATTTGTTACGTATTGTTTCCATTATGCCATTTGATTTTTCTTTTCTTACTGTGGAAATATCATATATTAAAAATATTACTTATATTTGTATAGTTATCTCGAAATTAACGATTTTATCCAGCTACATTACTGTTCCAATCAGGAGTCGAGTGATGTAATAAAGAGATTCCGCGAACGCTTGCCGTCGCCTAGGCGAGAACCGGTCTTTGGCACCACAAAAAATTGCCACCATCTTAGTATGGGGGGAACATTCCCTTTACTAACAACTAATGTAAGCTATTTTTAAAAACTGCCGTATAACTTAGCCGTTCATTATGCTCTGATAACAATATGTTGTAGAGCAACTTCCGGAGTCATCTAAAGAGACAAAGTTTTGTTACTGGAAGTAAGAATGATGCCTCACGACCAGAGTTACGTTAGCTTGGATGAAAGTCGATAAGAATTTTATGTTATTGTACTATATTGTAATTGCCACTTACATATCAGGTCTAATCCAGCAGTCGTATTAACTTAGTAACTTATTCGTTATTAAAATACTAGTAAAATTTCACGATTCAGTAATAGTTTGGCGGTTAAGTATAAACGTCGTGAGGAAATGCGGCTTGTCTCTATCTAAATGAATATTTCAAAGATTCGCCAATCGGCAATAGGATAGTGTATGTGCAGTTGTACCCATTAACGTAACGATTTGAAAAGCTAGTTAGTGCATCGGGCCGTGTGTCCCGATTAACGGTCGGCCGTCCTTCGCAGCCGTGTGTCGCGCCTCGTCCACTTTCACTTCGGCCGCGGCGTCGGTGCAGTGCGAACTGGAGCGGTCGCCGCACGCGCTTCACGTTGCGCTCTATTCTCTATTCCGGTTCCATCAAATTCCTGAATATTGCAACTAAAATACCTGTTTAGTTAGAATGTATTGCTATAATGTTTAGTTTGGTTTCGATATGTCTGCATCAAATCCGTCTATCGAAATATTCAACTGGTAGAGCAACTAGAGTGGTTTTTTTTATGTGAGAAGGTCGGAAATGAGCTGGCGGTTGACCTGATGTTAAGTGATAACCGCCTCCCATGGCTACCTGCAACACCACTAGGTTTGCAGATGCGTTGCCACCTTTAAATAAAGTGGGCCCCGGCTGCCTCATTCACCAGATGTCTTCTGTGTGGTCACGGTACTCCTCCGAAAGGACCTACCCATTCGTGAAACAAAGAGGACTGTTGCCGGAACCTACCACAGGATGGCGTACATCTACTGCTGCTGCAAAAAACGGCCAACTTGACCCAACAAGTACCACGGCCCTTCAGAAGAACGGTGACAAGCATAAATATACATTTGTCTTTCGAATGACGTTGCCGAAGAATCAAGTTATCAGCCGTAGATGGTAGGTAACACAAGGAGTGTTTGGCGCTGTGAGGTTTCGTATGTATTATCAGGACCATGAATAAGGTATCTACCAAAGCTACCAGATTCAATAAATATTTTATCACAAATAATCACACAGGGCAGTATTAACGTATAGGCCGCCTGCCTAAATGAGAGTTCGTTCTCCCTGTCAACGATTCGCATCGCTTCGCGCCAAATTGCGTGAATTAGGCGCCCATTGTAATGCAATCTGTACTGTTACATTTGTACCCACGGTGTCGAGTGGCCCACTCGCTGGGCCCGGTTCACATGGTGGGCCCCGCTGACGTCACGGCTGTTGCCAACGTGCGAAACGTTTTATCTCTCGGCCTTTGCCTCGTCGCTCACTTTTGATTTTCCCATTCTTCCTTCAACAGTACTTCCATAGCAGCGATTGTTTAAATATTTTTTTTTATTATAGGATATAAAGTTGGATGTTACAATTTGGGACGACCAGTATCATATTCATAAATAGATTAATTAAAATTTACTGTGAACTTATGAAGTAAAATTATATATATATATATATATATATTAGCGGACCGACAGACTTCGTCTTGTGCACACTACTTAAATCCAACAACAACAAAACGATTAAAAAAAAAACATTGTAGTGGACCGAATTGTGAATCTAAACCATTCTCGAATCAACCTGAAAACGCACAAAAAAATTCAATAAAATCGGTCCAGCCGCTTAGGAGAAGTTCAGTGACACACACGTACCGAAGAATTGTATGTATAAAGATTATATCCCACTGTTGGGCAGAGGCCACCTTTTTATATAAATAGTGTTTGTCGGAAATGTATGGTTTAACTAAAAGAGCACCCTCACAGCTACTAATCACGGCTCTCCTAGAATCAACTCCTACAATATTGGTTACAACAATCGTTAAAAATTGTAGGTCATCTTTAGAGCGATACAGATTACAGCTATTGTAAACGCGACTACTCCATATCTGTTAACGTTGGCAATGTCAAACGTATGTATATAGTGTCAATGGCCGTTGTTAAATATTAGAACAAAATGTTTTATTAGGGAATTCAGGCCTGTCCACACGCTGATTCATAAATAAATGATGTATGACAAACATACATCATAAAATACAGGAAAATATATCGTCGGGAAGATTTAGATTTGTTATTTAAAATTAATTTCACCATATTATAGTTATAATTAAAGCCAACCAGGGGGCGATTTATATACCTACAATCGGCAATTATTTGCGCACGCGACGATGTCGCAACGTAATTGAGACATGTAATGTCGCAGAAATATCGACTGCGTTTGCGCCGTGACGTGTACACGTTTTTGCGTTGTTATTTTTCGCAACGTTGCGTCTCGCTCCGCCCGGCCGCCGGCGATGCACCCCCGCCTCGCTCGGCTTTGACGGCTCTCACTCCATTGCGAACTGTGGTTTGATGTACTTTACGTAGTTACATCAAGGTTCAAAGGGATCTAATTTGTAATCCATAGATCATCAATATATATAATTAACTACGCTGCTAGACCGTGAAGTTGGAATTACTTTTCTTATAGCGTGTAATATACTTAGGCCTTTATTTAATATGAGAAAGTAGCAAGCGAGCAGGCGGCTTACTTGATGTTACATGATTTTCACTATCGCTGTTTTGTAAAACACCCGTGGAATTACAAATCCATATTTGAAAGAAAATATAACCTAATCCCAAAACACAGACAACACTACCGATCTGTACACGAGATCCGCGACTCGGTATCGGTATTGTTTTTCCTTTCGTATGTCACGCACGTACCCGACCGGTTAGCATTGTTTTTTTCTTCTTTTAAATGCCGCAAAAATGCGACGCGTGCCTGCGCTGCGCCGAGTCGTCTCTCTACGAAAAGTATGCTCGTTTTTCTGTCCGTCTATTTATAACGGCGCCTCGTCAACTCGCAGCTTCCTGCTCTCGGACGCGCGCCGCAACACGAGACACCGCTGTCAGGCTGCTGGGGCTTGTCTGATCGAGTGTTATGGACCACTGCTGTTTTTCTATTTGCATCAATGGGGATTGATGGCGCAGCCCGCGGGTCAGATTTCTACAGTACAGTTATTACAATTGTATCAATTGATCAATTATACTATGAAGGACCAAAGAAAGATTGCATATCTGGTCCGCTACTGTATGCTCCGCATACTGAATGTAATGTAGAAAACGGTACAGAGAAAAATCTGAGTTTTATTTGTAACATCAACTAAGAGATTTTAAGTTTCGCAGAAACAAAATTGCACATTGTGACTGCAAAAGTGGTTTCGACGACGGTTTGAAGTTGATTTAAGTCAAATTTCATCTATATACGTTTGCGTACTTTCTAATTAATTATCCACCGCTCATAAACCACCGCGATTTTAAGCAGCGAGTGATACGTCAGTACTTTTAACCTTTGACGAAATGAGACGAAAGCGGGCAAGCGTTGTGGACGCTCGGCAATTGGTGCTATACCGCGTAGCAATGGCTGTTCCGGTGCCGGTGTGGCGCCACGCTCCGACGCCTCGCGAAACCGCCGCCGCGGCCTTCCGCTTTTGCGACGCCAACAACTGTCCGGTGAGCCACTTCGCGCCGCGCTAACGCCGTCGCTTGCACAACTCCCTACTCAGCCCGGTCGAGAAAGGGCACGAGCCAACCGGACCCAAAGTCGAACACATGCACAATGATGGCACGTGAAACTAGTTTTGCATGGCGTATTCATCACATGTCGAAACTAACACACGCGCCTCCTACTTACTATCTTACTGCTAACATTTGCCGACTAAGACAGACAAAAGCAGGTTGAGCCGAGGTCGAACCATGCACATATACATACATATGTTAACGTAAACATTGGACCGTAGCTTGAGGAAATTATAACTTTTAAATAAGTCCCCTAAACCTACATAAAGAACGTAATCCAATAGCTAAGACAAGACAATCCTCGTAAAGTGAGCTACCTCGAGGAAGGACGAGCGCAATGAATGAGAGGCCTTGCGGTCACCACTGATAATGGCCCCGCCATCAGTCACAATCACGCGGCACGTTCCGTCGGACGAGAGGACATGCCGCGCGGTTTCCTCGAAGATGTTGTGACGCCGAGCCGTAACCATATTGCAGTTTACCATAAAAAGGCAGACAGACTTCCGCCCTCTAAATAATTTAAGAACTAAAATTCTGCTCGGACCCAGTTTAGAAATAACATCATACAATCGGGCGTGAGAAAGCAGTGCTGTCTTTCCTCACGTGGCCAACGATGCAATTCTTGATTCATTAGGAGGTTATTTAAGCAATTTGATTTCTTTCATAGTCTGTATTAGAATGCACGGAGGTATTGATGTGCAACAGGCAAATGTGTTTGGATCGAGAAAAGCAAACGACGAAATTATAATCAAATGTATCGGCGACTTCACCATATCATTTTAGCATTACCTATATTTCATAATTTTGATGAAGTAACACGGTAAAAAAGACCAATATGATATAAATATTTACGCACTCGTTAAATTACGTCACTCGATGAAACGCCATTTAGACAAAACGTTCCTCAAGCCGCTTGAGTCACGCGCGGTTCGATAATTGATTGTGGTAATTTCTCGTCAATCGTTGCTTACATTGATGTCTTACATAGATGATACCTATTATTTATACGCTACAGATTATTTTAATGTAAAGTTCGACAATACTGCTTTACGCCCGGTTTCTGAAACACTGATCGTAGAAATTAATTAATCAGCCGTCAAATGGCTTCTCAAATGTCATTTGAGTTGTCAGAAGGATGGTTGAACTCTTTGATTTTACCAGAACGATCAGAAGGACTTAGACTTGCTGCATCCTACATGAACCTTATAATCAAGGTAGTACGAACATAAATTTAGATTAATCCGAAATCAGAGATAAACAAACTACCGAGTATACAATTTTTTATATCGTAAAGATAGTTTGACTGGAAGCGTTAATTCGTCATGAAAGTTCACTGCTTCAAATCGTAATAGCCTTCATTCTAATGTAGATATAAATTTTGATACATGGTATGGATCCAGTGATAACTGAAACTAAACTGTGTACAATATAATAATTGGCCATACAAACTACCTGTGGCTATTAAACTTTGGATAAATTGTTTTCGTTCCTTCGCATTGCTAAGTATTCATTGCCCGTCGACCGCGCGCCGCTTTCGTGCATTTCAAATCCAGCGCAGTAAAAACTGCTGTCAAATTCCACTTTCTAAGGTGATAGTTCTTGTTCGTTTATAAATCCGCCATCGTCGAATTCACTAACGTTGCTTACGATGTAACGTCTTATTCTTTAATGGTATGTTGTATATTGTCTAAATCACGAAAAAAAATTTAATAAAATTAGCCAAAAATAATTTTATGATGCTAATATTTCTTACGATCCATCTATTATCCTAGCTGAAAATGTATAATTTCTCATTACTCATTTATTTTGTTTAATTTCCCGTTTATTACCACGATTGTGGCGCGTTGCCAAGGTATTGCCTTCTGCGCCGGAGATCGTGGGTTCGATCCCCACACGGAACAACTATTTGTGAGACTCACAGATAGTTGATTCGAATCTGGGTGTTTGTCCACGTGAAATTTATGATTGTAAAACGTCTTTACAACACAGGATAAGTCGATATCGAATCGATAAAGCAAGGGCAATTTTTTTTAATTTATTGCGACAAAACAGTTATACATTAACAGTTATACATAAAACAGAATTTTGAATTATTTAACTAAACGTGTAACCAACTCCAATGTCTGCAGAATAACATTAAGTGTAAAATAATACAAAGAGTAAATCGGTTTCTAACCTTATTTGCATATTACGATTTAAATATTAGTGTAACCAGTCTTTTAAATTAATTTTGTGAAAGTGAAAACAAATCCAAATTTACTTTAGAGTTTTAAACATCCAACGCTCACGAAGCGTTGCTCGCTGGCCAGCATTTGTTCCACACTTTTCATTTAGGAGACCTTTGTATCAGTAACAATTGGTCGTAATAATGTGTTCCAGGTGGGGCGTTCGAGGGCGTGGAGGACCAGGTGTCGCCGTTCGGGTACGGGCGCGGCGAGGGCGTGGACGCGGGCCACGGCGACCCCGAGTGGATCTGCAGCAAGGAGAAGCCCCACTACGACCAGATATTCCACTCGCTGAACCCCATCGACGGCAAGGTCACCGGCGCCGGTATGCAATCGCTCTGCCCCACCACCACCATCACCACCCCCACCTCCGCAGCGATCTGCCGCGACCACACCCTCCGCGCGCTGCTCTCCACCGCGCACAACTGCTCCCAACTAACCGAGCTCTGCACGCTCCTATCGCGCCGCGGGAACGAACAGAACGCGAACTTCGACAAGGCCATCCGAGTGCTGGCCGTGTCCACGCAGAACTGCAACATCCTCTCGCAGTGTTTGATTCGCGAACCCTCGCGCGCTTCGAGTGGTCGCATCTCCTCCGCAGTCTCCATCCACAGCTTGAATGAGACGGAGGGAGGCGGCGTTGACGACACCAATTTTTCTGCAGACGACGCGTCTAATAGAAGCGACAGTACCGACGATTCCGCCAGCGAATCGGTGGCTAACGAAATCCCTAAACATAACTCTGTTGTACCGAAGCCTGCGCCAAGCCTTTTTCATCAATTGTTTGGCATTGTCAAGTTCAGCTTTCAGCTAGTGCTGAATTTGATAATGCTGATGATAACTGCCGAGTGCATGTTCTTGGCGCTCGTGTACATGACGACCGGGAAGTTGTACCTTGAACTGAAGGTAACAAAGTCCCCGCAATCCCTGATGGACTTTGCCAAAACCACCGTCTTCGGACCCCAGGGAGAGTTGGTCCAAATACGCTCCATTTTTCAGCTCTTCTATCGTCATAATATTTTGAACATATTGAAACTGTTGACGCATAATATTGAAAATGATGCGTGGTGAGATCGATTTATATTATGCGTGCACTTAGATTAAATTATATAGCAAAAATTTATGTTCCTATGTTAATTTCCAAAAGATCGCTTCGCTTATACATAAAATGGTTGTAAAAGGCTTGCGCTCTGGTTTCGGTACAGAAAACAGCTGAAAGGTCCTTTTTTATAATGTGCTTATGCTCGGTGCTCAGTACTAAGGGTCCAGTGGTTCTGTTCATTCCCGCGCGCCTCCCGCGCCGACTAACCGACGCGGCGTCCGCGGCCGCAAACGGTGTAAGCACACAGCTGACAGAATGTTTTTCGACAGCCGCAAAGACAGAGATGGTGAAGTCGAAGCTGCCCAACTCGGTGCTCGGAAAGATCTGGAAGCTGTCCGACATAGACAAGGACGGTTTCCTCGACGAGGACGAGTTCGCGCTGGCGATGCACCTCATCCAGGTGAAGATCGATGGCCACGACCTGCCGGCCGACCTGCCGCCCCACCTCGTGCCGCCCTCCAAGCGGAACTGACCCCTCCCCGCCAACCACGGCCACTCCCACTTTTCAGCCACTCCGCTCCGACCCTTGCGCGCATAAAGCTCCATTTACACGTAACAAGTAGTTGCTCAATTTCGCATTGACAATCTCCTGCACGAGCGTGAACGATTAGTCAATAGAGTAATAAGTTGAAAGTTCAAATTTGGCGCGTTACTATACAAGTGAAACAGAGTATTTTTTAGTTTGGTAGCAGCACTTATTGTAGTGTCCATCAATCTTTTTTCACTATTTAACACTCCAAAAGGGCACTCAATACGAATTGAAATACTAAATTAATTATTTACATGATTTGCAGTTGGACGTCTAACTTAGGTACGCAACAGGTTTTAATTATTTGTCAATTGTGAATTACTGTTAGCTACATAACTACATGATATGTGTAAATCAGCTTCAAAGCATACTGTCATCTTTGTATAATTGTCTCATGCAAGCGAGAATGAGCCCTAATGCACTACTCACTACAGTGTAACGAATTTTTGGCAGACAAATTATTTTCATATGTTTAAAATTAAAAAAAAAATGTTTATGGATGTCGTCAGCGCACAATTGTATCGATAATGATGAGAAATTAAGTTCTATTAGACCCGTCGATGTGCTGTCGTTATAACGGAGCAAACAAACGGCCGGATTGTGTCGTAAAAGCACACGCTGCGGTTTTCCCTCGCATCATCCACTCATCGGAGGCTCCTGAGAACGGCAGACTCGGCGTTCTACTTCGACACGAAATATTTATTATTTCAATCAGTTCTACACTCGTACTAAGCCGACTTCGATTTGTTTGACAGAGGACGCTGTGATCGGAACAAATATAACATACTATTCCTACTTTTTCTCGTCCTCGTCAAATATTTGTGAATCACCCGTTGGTGTGTCTAAATAAATGAATAAAATAAAACAAATATCAGTAATTGGGAAGGTGAGATTCAATAACGGACTATGGTTAGAACGCCGAGTAAGCCTCTATTAGAAATTGTTTATTGATGTAGGCACTAGGCAATATTATTTAGCTTTACAATTAATTTATTCCGTGAGTTTTAATTTTTGGTGCTCCCAGAGTTTCGATTGTATTTAAATGTGAAATTTTTATAAATGGTTTTTATTTTTAAGTACATTATAATTATATTACTACGCGATTAGTATTGTTCGTTGTTTAATACATTATAATAAAATCTATATAAATTCGTTTACGCTATGTAACGCGGCATGCTTTTCATTGATACCCATTATATTATGCTTATTATAAATTCGCTGGTACAAATGTTGTTCCTATAACCAAACGTTCGGCTTAATCATCATGAGACGTGAACGCCCGAGTGAAAATAATTTATTTGCAAAATCATTGAAAAAGATTCCCTATATATTTTATTACATATACTAAATTGTAAATTGCACTGTTCGCTTCTGTTTGTACTTACCGCCAATGTTCATCTAATCTTATCGATCGATGTTTACCTTCGGTTTTGTTCTGCTGCATTTATTATAGTCGAGCCAATCGTTCTTTCTGCCTTCGCCGTTAGGTAATTGAATGGCTTAGATTCAACATGTCAAGGGAACACTCGCCCTCCGCATAGAAGAGGGCTGCAGCTGTTATATGTAAATACGGTATTTTGTATGCGTTAAATTTTTGGAACGTTTTAGCGCCCCGTTCAGAGAATGAACACGAGCCGATCTGCCGCTGAGCCGGGCGCGCGCGGTTTTTACATTTGCTACTGTGTGTACATAAAACATGTAAATGTATTTATCAGAAATTATACAGAGAGTGTATTAAATAAGTAAGAAAACCGGTGTTTTATTTATACGACCATTAAATTCACAATTTCCCTAGAATAACGGTAAAGCAACATCTATAAGCTATGTTCAGAAACCTTAAATTTATATTTTCCTTGATAATCATCGGGAAAATGGGCCCACGAAATTAAGGAAAGGCAGCTAGCTACCTTAAGGAAGGAATGGATAATCGGCCATGCTATTGACGGAAACAGGTTGTATCTGCCATAAACTCTGAATGTAGTTTAAAAAATTATTAACGGCTCCGGAGAAGTGCATACATGTAAATTACACCTATTAAAACTAGTACCTGGATGACCAGTATTTTTTTCTCACAAAAGGCACAGAAAACTGTACGGCGGTAGGGCCACGCAGCAGCCTCGGCTGTTGCACGAATGGGCAGGCCCATCTGGGTAAGTACCACGACCTCACAGAAGACCAGCGTAAAATGGAAGTATGACAAATACTTTCGCGTTTCGTCCGGTGAGTGAGGTAGCCGGAGCCCAATTTCAAAAGGTCAACGCATCTGTAACCCTCGGGTGTAGCAGATGTCCATGGGCGGCGGTATCAGACAAATCTCAGAAGTATAACACTCCAAGTATATAGTACTTATCTGGATGAGCCTGTCCTTTCAAATATATATATATATATATATATATTACTAGCGACCCTCCCCGGCTTCGCACGGGTGCAATGTATTATATATATTAAGAAAGAGTTTATTTGACATAAAACAGACTGACGTACACAACAATCACTTAAAACAATAAAAATTAGACAAAAAAAACATGAACAGAAAAATCCAGTATGCAAATTTTCCCTTTTCAATAAAGTACGTCGTGATTCATGCCAAAAAGGACAAAAGGAAATGTGAAACTGCAACGCTGATTTTCAGTAATGACCAAAAATTGGGGAATACAGTCCCGAGTCCAAAAAAAAATACATTTATCAAAAACAAAAGTAAGAAACTAAAATTATAATAAAATAAAAACTCAAAAAAACAACAAAAATGGGAACAGTAATTAGGATTGGAAAATGTATCCACCAATCCATACATGTGCGTGCATCAGGCATGTGCTTACTTTTCAGTTAATGGTACGGTTTTAGTGCGAGAAACGAGAAAAAAGAAGGAAAAGCACAAAAAATTAACATAAAAATATTATGAACCTTCCTCTTGAATCACTCTATCTAGTAAAACCGCATCAAGGAACAGACAGACAGCGGGACGACTTTGTTTTATTCTATGTCGTAATGCACAGCAAAGGGATGTTTACATTTCAAGTGACATTTTACCAGTCACTCACTTGTTTTGCCTTCCCGGAACCCCTCCACTAACACTTAAACTTTATGGTATGGTATTTAAAATTCAAATTGACTTAAGTATTATTACGAATCTTTTATAGGGGAATATAGAAGTGTTGTTTTTAGACTTTTTCAGGCAATTTTTTAATTTTTTTCTTTCATAAGAACCTGATAATAACAAACACAGAAAAAAAGTGAAATCGGTCCAGCCGTTCACGCGTGATGGCGTGACCAAGGGAAATAGGGATTCATTTTTATATATATAAATGATTTTACGTTCGTTCTATGAGGCCTATATATATTTTTTTTTAATTCTATACTCTTTTAAAATAAAAAGCGCCTGCTGAAAATAAATAGCATTGCTGCTTTATTAAAATTATCAGCCTGTACATGCACCTTTGCTTGACAAAGGCCTCCTTTGTACAGAAGATATTAGGGCATTCATCAAGCGGCCCCGCTTGCAGATTGGTGAAGTTCACCATATCTTCAAAATATTTCTTAGTTTGTACAGGCAAAGCCGTACATTTTCTATTGTATAGCAAACTGCGCACACGGCATATTGACACTTGCAAGCGTTCGTATGCGCGACCTAGTTTATACTTTAGTTCGTAATTATAATTTTAATATATTTCAGTGCAGTAAAAGCATTCAATGACAACGGTCGGTTTATTTTGACATTTCTTAACCGCCATACAATTGACATAAGCTCATCCATCCCACATTGACATCAAGGTGTGGTGGTACACGCAGTTACCAGCACATCGTTGTTATTTCGAAACCAAGCAGGTTTCCTCACATTGTTTTTGTTCACCATTAAGCATGTGATAAGTCAAGTGAGCGCTTATAATGAACACTTAACTTCCTTGGTGCTGACAACAGGATTTAGAACTCAGGTTGCTGGAGTGTAATGAATAAAAAGCACTCAAACACCGAGCTATCATAGCTCCTTGTCATAGGAAATAAATATGTAAATGAAAACAAAATAAATAGTATCAGTATTGAATGCTACAGTTTACAGTTAGCATTGAAACTGCATAGCATTGACTGAATATCTGATGAATATGGGATGATTCAAAATAAAGTATTGATATTTCTTTATATGTACATTTATTAACAAAACTTCACGGTTTGACAAAGATTTTAGAATTATTAGGGAGTAAATAGTTTTGATATTAAGTTATTTCACAACATAATTTGTATGCTAAAAATTTTAATGCTTTGATACACTATACTTGAAGTAATAGTACTGTCACTTTACCAACTAAATAAGGTACATGACATTAATAAGAACCTTTAATGACAAGGATATCATGAATGTAGCTCTAGATATTATATTGAATATGTATCCTGTATGTTATTAATAAGTAGATTATAGACTTAAAGTATTATATTTTGATAAATGCTTAATAACTGTAGCATTCTGTTAAGACATGTAAAAATGTAAAAGAAATGTCCAAGTTTAGAACCATACCTAATTGCTTAATATATAGTATCAATATTTTAGAAAAGGCATAAATGTAACATATTTATCACTAAATTTAAAAAAAATTAATATTCATTTTGAACCAATATATATATAACTCGCTAAATGAACCAAAAAATCATTTTCCGTTTTAATGAAAATTGCTTTGCAAACAATTAACTAATATAATTTTCTACATCCTAGACAGATGTGCGTAATGCATACATGCAGCTTGTAGTATCAAGACTCTGAAGTGGTGGAGTCTTTCAGGACTCCGCCCTTCAAAGTCGCCTAACCCTCATTGTGAAGGTGGCTGGTTATCGCCCTGGCCAGGGGGGCGGACTTGCCTCCTGAGCTGCTCCACTAGGTCCGGGTTGGCAGCCTGCATGTGTTGTGCCAATGCTTGGCCAGCTTCTAGCAAAGCGTTCATTCCACCAGCTCCGCTAGCAGCCTGGGTGTTATTCATTAATCCAGATATAAGATTTTGCATATTTGGATCAGAAAGCATTTCAGTAGCCATGTTCAATAGTGCTGGATTTTGTAGCAATCCTCCAAGATCTATTGGACCACGCTCGCCTCTTTGTGCAAGTTTCTCCTCTGCCAGTCGGAGGTTTTCTTTGTATGATTCGTTGTCTGGATCCAGTTGGGCAGCACGCGCGAAAGCAGCCTGAGCTTCCCTATGGCGATCCAACGCTGTTAGAGCTAACCCGAGGCGTCCATGAGCTTTTCCGTAGTTGGGCTGTAGTGCTAAAGCGGCCGTGCAGTCGGCGATTGCCAACTCGTGTTCGCCAAGCTTAAAGTGTGACGCAGCCCTATTGCTGAAATATACAGCATTATGAGGATCCAGTTCTATAGCTTTGGTATATTTGTCGTAAGCTTCGCGATATTTTTCCGCTTTCATGAACTCGTTGCCCTCATTTTTTAATCTCTCAGCTTCAACACGATTGGCATTCGCATTACCGCTCTGCTGCCGTACCAATTGCAACAAATCAATACCTTGGCTAAGCTCCTCCGGGCTGAGTTCAAAAGCGGTTTCAATGCATTGTACTGCAACTTCCACACTTTCACGAGAATCATTGTTTAATTCAGCACCTTCAAGTTGCTGCTTTAGAAAATTAACAATACTTGCGGCGACAATTTTTACTTCAGACATTTTTAGCGATTCTCCAGAATATCCAAAAACAATATTCTTCTAGCGAATCTTTGTGTCCACCAATCTGACAAATCAAAATGTCAGATCATTCCTTTTAGCATTTAATTAAAGTACATACAGACTGCATGTGTTATCATACAGCCAAGACAATAGTCCTATAAAATGACGAGTTTAGTTTTGCTGGTTGATTACATTAATTTATTTAAAAGTCGTAAACATTATATTATTAATATTTGTAAAACTTTACATAGCATGGACAAAAAGAGAACGTAATGTTATATATTCTACAGAGGTCACTTGTCTATGTAAATTAAATTTTGAGTAATAGATCCAATTTATTTGAATCTCTCATGTACAGCAAAATTCAATTAGATTTTGGATTTTTATTTTGTTAAATTTTAGAATAATAAAAATCATAAACAATTAAAAACTGTTTTTTTAAGTATTAAAAATTTTTCTAGGCTATTATAGATGAAGCCAAACTAGTTTGCCTATAAATCCAAGTTATTCCGGTACCAGCACCAATGAAATTGTTGATTTTAAGTACTGACTTTTCACATGCTCTGCGATGAAGGAAAACATTGTGAGGAAACCTGCATATTTTCGAAATAATAACAAACAAAATATTTCAAAGATCTGTAAAGTCTGCCAATCCGCAGTGGGGCCGCGTGTTGGCTTTGGTACCATCTGTATAGAGAAGGTTTTTACCCGGCAGTGAGACATGTATAGGCATTACTTTACTTTACAATTGCCTTTAATGTCTTTTTCACAGAGTACTGGCACAAGGGATAATTTCTTTTTCTTTAGTACGGTATAGAAGTAGAACTACTTACGTGTGTACAAAAGTACACACACTCTTTCTAATGGTCTGAGGTTTCAATAAATTACTCCTATTGTCGATTGTAAAAATCTCATTTATCATCTAAATTCTAATTTGTATCTGTCATAATTCTTTCGAGAAATAAACATTTTCAACTATAATTTTAGGTTTTTAAATTTCAAGAATTACGTTACCATGATGTTTTAATAAAAATGAGGCATGTCCATACTGCGTGGCGTTTAAAAATTGTTCGCTTTACATTTTTATATGCCATCATAAATTGTGTGGATGTGACAGATGATGTAGAACATATAAAACAAGTTTTTCGTTTTAATTATATACTTTTTAATAATTGAAACGATACAATACAAAATCGCGTTCGGAAATCACATGAAGTATATATTTATGATTAATATTATTTAAGCGCTTCTCTCCGTCTGTCGAGCGCACGGGGATGTGCGGAGGTGGGCTATTCGAGGGCCCAGTGCGGGTGGTGCGGCGGCGTGTTGTGCAGCAGGCAGGGCCAGTCGCGCAGGCGGCGCGCGCGCGCGTAGGCGTCCCGCGCGAGGCCGCGCGCCGCGTCGGCCGCCAGCGCGGCGCCGCACAGCGCGCCGCCCAGCCACGGCGCGCAGCTGTCGTGCGCCGGCGCGCCGTGGAACGCGAAGCGCACGCCGCGCATGCGCTCCGCGTAGGGCGGCTGCGCGGCCACGTGGCGCAGCTCGTCGGCCAGCCGCGCCTTCAGGCCGGCCAGCGCGGCCGTGCCGCCCACCACCAGCACGTTGGCGGCGAGCGCGCGCCGCGCGTCCACCGGGCAGCGCAGCACGCACTGCACCACCATGTCGGCCAGCGACGCCAGCTCGTTGTCGCGCGCGAACAGCGGCTCGGCGGCGAGGGCGCGCGCGCGCCGCGACACCAGCACGCGGCCGCGGCGCGCCTCGCGCACCTCCGCGCCCACCCCTCCGCCGCCCCCGCCCTCCGCCTCGCCCGCCCACCGCAGCGCCAGCGCGCGCGGCGGCACGAAGCACGCGCGCACTGCGCCCGCATCGCGAACGGTGAGACGTTGTTTCGATCCGTCTACTCACCCTCGATCGCAACGAACGTACCTTTGATATCTTCCAGGTCCTCCTCGCTCAGATGCAGCTCGGCGCCGTTGTCCTCGTCGAGTATCCGCGCGAGCTCGTCGTGGATCGCGCGAGCGCCGAGCGGTTGGGACTGCATCGCTTCTATTACCGGACAACCGTGGACCACTGGCCGCAAAATATAGCACACACTCAGTCACTTATTACATGAAAACGTTATTTTGATCGCGCTACGCCTTTCGTCGAATTTTAGTTCGAAAGTAATGCCGATTTTCTGCCGTTGTTCCACCGTGACGTTAACCCTTGCCATGTCACAGTTTTGAGATAGAGATAAACAGCGAAAAGTCGCTTGATACTCGTGACATAGTAATTATTGCATGATTGAGATTAATCTTATCCTCTCAAATTTATATTACATTAGTCTTCGGGGTTGGATTGGTTACAATTGGGGATCGGGTTGCAAAGGCCGGTTGTTGGCCTCTTTACAAGCGTCCAAGATACTGCTAAGCGGGACCGGAATTGGTTTTAAAACTTTGTTTCTAATAAGAATTATCAAGATCTGGGGCGGGTCTTAGGTATGATTGTTTGATCATATCGTTGAACTTTTCGGGGGTCACTATAGTCAAGAGGTATTCTGCTGGTGGTATTGCAGCTCTTAGATCGATAACGGCGCTCAACTTCCGACGGGGTTCGCTTTAAATGTATCTTTAACGGTCGCCTTATGGGCGGACGTTAACTCTTTACCAGCCGTGACTTCAGCGTCGCGTGCACCCAGCTCGACCACGAGGGCGACGGGCGTACCCAGAGTCAGGGCGCTCGCCCTACCACTATCCGCCCACATCACGCCTGAAACCTGTTAATATTATAGTAGCTTAATTTCTTTCATTTAAATAGATTACTCATTTGGTTCTCCTCACGTGTGGCCGTTGCTTTGACCATGGAAAAATAATGTTAGTGTTCAAAACAAGTTCTAACGAGGCATCTGAAGGACAGAGAGCACACATTATCAATGAAATGTATGGCGCTATATTTTCTACAGTAAAAATTTGATAATATTCGTTGGCTGAAAAAAATGTATTTAAAATTTGATGGATATATATAAATATTTTTAATTCAGTCACGTGAAATCGATGCAGCTTTGCCAACACAGCGGTAGTTAATTGATGCCCTTGTAAAAATCAGATGGACGGGAGGCAGCAAACTGTCTGAGACTGTCTGTTCTGTAGTATGAGGTCCCGCGGTGTCGTGAAGATGCAGCGGGGACGACCGGTTGACCAAAGCTGGTGGCAGATGTGCGGGCTTCTCCATCTAAATCTTCTTCACAGTACAAATCTGCAGTAATGCTCGTGCTGTTTTGTAAAAAGCTGTGATGAATCACAACGGCCTTAAACCAACAAACAGTGACCATCACATTTCTAGGGATAATTTTTCGTTTAGGTTATTGCTTTGTTGCTGAACCAGGATCTAACCAACTCGCTGAGCGCTTTCAAATGTCGAAGGGAATCGAACGGAATTTTTCGTCGCACGTAATAATTCAGTTCAAAATTCCTTCATTTCTGTGCGTATTGCGCAGCGCAAGGCAGGTCTTGGGCGTGTAAGTTGCGTGAGTGATCGTTAAATTCGTGGGGCTCCCATCTATGAAACTTTTTACCATGCCAATTTGTCGCAGATGGACCAATATTGTTTTGGTGTTAACAACAAAAGCTGTTACTAGCTCAGCTGTAGTTTGAGTATTATCAGCTTCCACAATTGCCTTTAATTTTCATTGTTGAACAGTGTCCGGGCGACCACAAGGTTCATTTTTCAAGTTGTGCGTTCATTTGTGAAGTTTTCTCTGTAAACGTTGTTGATGTTACGTGCCGTTGGTGCCGCGTTGGTGCCACGACGGTACTCATATTATATAAATACACGAATTTTTAAAGTATTCATTATGTCGAAAAATGTTCAAATGTAATGTAAATACAAAGCTAATCAAGAAACAATAGACTGAATTGTAATAAAATTTCATGTTTTTAAAACAAAATTAATTTGAATTTAGAATTCATAACCAATCAAAACTATTTTTTGTTTGAAATGGCCATTCCTGAAGTACTGCAATAGTATATATATTATACTGCACATATATATTATATTACACGTACAATAAATAGTATGTGTAATATAATATATACGTGCAAGTATGTATATAAAATTGTAATTATATATATTTATGATGAAGTATATTTAGTTTTGTCATATTCTTTATGATAGACACTAAAAATCTTGTATGTCATTTTAGCGTTACTACCCGTAACTTGTACTCAAACACCAAAGGTTAACTGGAAGAAAATGCTATTTAGCATTAAGTTCACCTTTGTACAAACTTCTAGTACAATAAAGAATATACAAACAAACAAACAAACTGCAATTTTATTGGGAAAGACCTATTATAACCCTAACTTACCAAATAAATTTACTTTCACAGTGAAGTGTTCACAAATGATGTTATAACTAATAGAAGCAACATTAATTATGTACGAAATGGGGGAGGTATAAAGTATAAAACAAAGTCATCCCGCTGTCTGTCTGTCCATATATATGTTTAGATCTTTAAAACTACATAATGGATTTTGATGCTGTTTTCTTTAATAGATAGAGTGATTTAAGAGGTAGGTTTATATGTATAATTCATGCATAATATAGTACAGAAACACTGATAATTTAAGAGGTTTCTATTGTGATATGCAAAAACATTCAGCATTGCACCTGTGCGAAAACCGGGGCGGGTCGCTAGTGAACATATAAATTGATGTTAGTCTTTAAAATTATCATATAAAACTTATTAACTACTTACTTCATAGTGTATAAAGAGCACCTTAGCTAAAGTTTCGCGAAACAATGTAGGTGTTAGAAGTGACTCCACAATTACCACTTTCCGTTCTTTTGGATTGACTAAAACATGTCTGTAAAAAATTATAAATCATCAACAAATCAGTTAGAAAAACTACCATAGAGGGACTGATTTTTATTATAAATATTCTATTATTAGGTAATTCAAGATGCACATATTTTATTTTCATTAATAATCCAGTAGTCAGTCAGTAACATCGGTGGGTTCCCCTATTAGTACAGACAATACATCTTAGTACAAAAGATGTATTTAAAGAAGTAAATATTGTTTATAAACATTTCTAATTAACAGAGAAGGACAAAAAATGGAATAAGAACTAACCTAAAGTATAACAAATGCAACATGTGAACAAGGTTATCATAAAGTTCTTCTGCTGACTTGTAATCATATACTCGTTTAAACTTTCGTGTTGATGGGCACCAGTATTCTGAGCGTATTATGCAACGTGGAGCAGCTTCACCAGTGAAACCAAATCTGCAAAATATTAAGGTTAAAAATTAAAATTGAAACTTAGAAGTAGGTATATATTTTACATTAAAAGTATGGCTAATATTCCGAATAGTCAACTCAACTCGTTTTTCAAGCTAGAAAAAAATTTTAATCTATAGAGAAATGTTAATAATTAAATATTATATAAGTTACAATCAATGAAAACCACTAGATTATGAGGAAAAAATTAACAAACTTTTTAAATTTCATATAACTGAAATCCGTCATTACTGTGCGTCCATTATTCATTATAGACTATTATTTTAAGTTAAAAACTTACGTTTTCACTTTTTACATTGTAAGAAGACAAATACACAGATATATCACAAAAACACAAGTTCCTACTTCATGAACATGTATTATTAACAATTTCTAAAATTTAAAATTTGTGACTTAGTGTACACTTAATGTCTCGAATATTAGGTTCAAAATGAGTCACAGATCCGACACAGAGCAATCCGACTCGGATAGGTTAGGTTAGAAGGTTAAGCTTAACCTTCGTTGTTAGGTTCTTTTTTTATGACCACCCAGAAAACTTTAGTGTAACAGTACTTTTAGTATTTTTAAAGACTCTTTTTTAATAATGCGAAGGTTATAATGTGTGAATTCGTAAATTTATACATGTTGTCAAACACAAAATGGCAGATTTATTTAGTGAAAATAACAAATTTTAAATATTTTTTTTTATTAAAAGTAAGTGTTTGCCTTGGTTTTCATGTATGTAATATTTAATTATTAATGTTTCTCTATCGATTAAATTTTTTTTCTAGCTTGAAATACGAGACGTACTGTTCGGAATTTTTACCAAAAGTATTCTTATGTGTCTATTAATAAAATGGTTTAAAAGTTACTCAAGGAATATTTTTATTTCTGATACAAAATGTAAATTTCTTTTAGTTTTGCAAATAAAATATTAAAACATTTTCCAAAATATTATTGCCACATTTAAAGTAGTAAGTTCGCTTCTGGTTGGGACCGTAGAAATATAACTAATATGTTAGCAACAAAACTAGCTATATCACTATTGTTTCAAAGAATCTACTTATAAGTGCTTACTTAGTGTAATCAGTTCCAAGATCCAAAACTACAGCTTGTTTCTCCTGTATGAGAGCAATACCCTCGTATGGCATCATTGTTTGCGAGTGAAGCTTGCTGTTCGTTTCGTTAAATATGTACAGGCATATCGTTATAAAGTATAGTTTTTAATAACCTTGGGATATCAATAAATACTAATTTAAAGCTAAGCCGTTTTCACAACTATGTTTATCTTTTATATATTTAACAACTTAATTTATTATTATAGTTTAACGGGATATTTATGTTTAAATTAAAAGGTAGGTTTTCTAAGACTCTGAATGACAGGCAGATGACTGAATTGAATGACAAATGACAATTAAGACTGACATTACGATGACATCATACCAGGGCGAGATTTAGGTACGAAAAGGAATAGTACAAATGAAAGGATAGTATTTGTAAACATGTTATAATATACTCTATTATTTTGATTTTACCATATTAATTGTTTTACTCTTATTCCACCTCTAAAATTTGAAACCCTACTTCCCAGTCATATTATTTACATTTATTCAGTCATAAAATTGCCAACTTTTTTCCGCCTTGTTTTCTTCATTTATCAGTTAGTTTTAGAAATAATTAATAAGTCATACTTTAGATTTATATGAACTCTTGTCAGAAATGGCGAAAATTTGCCACAAAAAGGCTGTTTAATTTTGCCGCCACTACTGACCTCTAAAATTTGAAACCCTACTTCCCAGTCATATTATTTACATTTATTCAGTCAATAAAATTGCAACTTTTTAATTTGAGTAATGATTGAGAATTCAACTTTTTTCTATCATTGCATCAGTTTTTCTTGTCATTAGCATGATTTTGAACTAAGGTTTCGTTGTGTCAGTTTCTAGATTATTTACACAATACTAGTGACCCGCCCCGGCTTCGCACGGGTGCAATGCTGAATCTTTGTTTTCGACATCGCATTAGAAACTTCTAAAATTGGTAGTGTTTCTCTTCTATATTATGCATGAATTACATATACAGCGTGTCGTTACCATCGCGACAATAAATGAACACACGTCTAACGCTACTTGCCAATATTATATATTAAAAAATATTAACGTTAAACAAAATCCATAATTAAAAAAATATTTTTCAAACAAACTAATTAAGTAAAAAATGAAACAAAATTTGTAACATCCTATATAACTCGCGCCACAGTGTCGCATTACAAGCCTCTCCTTCTAACAATATGTTTTGTCTCTTTTAAATTCATTCAACCCATTCATATGCTTTGTGACCTTTACAAATGAACTTTATGTTTCAGTTTTATACGTATGGGTGTTCTAAAATTGTTTGTTTTAGAAAATTTAATAACTCGGTAAATATTAATGTTTAAAGAATGTAAATGTTTAATACAATTTTAAAAAGTTATCCTCTATATGTGTGTTCATTTATTGTCGCGGTGGTAACGACACGCTGTATAAACTTTTTAAAGATCCACTTTGTTTTATACTATTTAGGAAAATTGGTTTTTGGGTATATTTCTGAACTAAAGAAAGCTCAATCATGTTCTAATTATAAGATAGGGTATGAAAACCGCTAACCAAAAATAATGTACATTTAGTAAAAATAATACGAACAGTACCTTTGTTAAATTTTCTAGTTATAATCAATTTAGTAATGACAATGTGTAAAATGAATCAAGTTATGAAAGTCATTATGCTCAATTTCCAAGACTCGCTTTCTCTATGTAAATGATGTTTCCTCTTTATTTCTGTAAGACACAATTTTTTTTCCCAAATTTGCCGCCACCTATAATCTGCCGCCCTAGGATCCGGTCTACTTAACCTGCTGGATGCTGGCAAATCCGCCACTGTATATTAGGTTCCTCATAGAGTGCAATATGTAAATTACTGTTCAATAAGCGGAGTAAAGCAATAAAAAGTTTAATTCACGGGATTAGTTCATTGATTACGACATATTAATATAATATCACATAATTATATATTGATTGTATAAATAGATATGGCACTAGCGCACCGAAACTGAAATTATTCATGCAGTGTGGACTTGCATATATTGACGCATCATTTTTTTTTTTTTTTTTTTTTTTTTTTTTTTTTTTTAATTATAGTGGCTCCATCAAGGATAGCTTGATGATTCTGCCAATTTCAAGGTTGAATAAAACAAACTGTTATTGATAAAATTTCCTAAAGAGATGACTTTTGTACGGTATTTAGAACATCATACTTTATTGGTTGAGATACCTGAATAGAAACTAAAAATTTTGTTAGAAGATGAATAAAAATAAGTAAGGATGACTAAAATGATAAAGGCGACACAAACAATTACAAGGAGGAGAAATGGAAATGTTAAAGCTTTATATTATTAATACAAAGGAATTTATGAAGTACTTTGACAACGTGGAAGTCATTAAGAGTTAGAAGGAATGGGATATTAACAGGTCTGGGGAACTTTGAAGGAAGGATATCATATAGGGGGACGTTAAGATTTGGACATGAAAAAAACATGTGTTCCAGAGTTCCTTCTGCTAAGCCGCAGTGACAAAGAGAGTGGTCCAGTATGCGCAGTTTAGCTAGAAACACTGGGGAGCAAACATGTCCTAGTCGCAAGCGAATTATTACAGAAGTAATTAATTTACTAAAAGATTTGTATTTGAAAAACCACGGCTTTGATGGGATATTAGGCTGGATACTGGCAAAGAATCTCCCTTTCACAGTTTTGGTTTGTTGCCACAAATTATCCCAAGTTTCCATTAATTGAGGTTTGGCCATAGAGCACAGATCGCGAGCTGGGATGTTAGAGTGACATGGATCGCCTATCGAAATAGCTTGTTTAGCATAATAATCAGCCGCTTCATTACCCAGAATACCCACGTGGCCTGGAATCCAGGCTAGGACAGTTTCAATACCCTCTCTTTGTAACTTAAATAATGTTTCTTTTATATTAAGAATAATTGAGGAGTGGCGTTTACAGTGGAAGGGAAGTTTCTTTAAATCCTCCAGACAACTACAGGAGTCACTGAGGATCAAAGTCTTACGAAAATGAGATTGGTTAGAATCTATATACTTAACTGCTTCTAAAATGGCTAATGATTCACCTGTAAAAATTGAACATTCTGAAGGACATTTAAAACTCAAAACTACACTCTACTTTGGTATATAAACGGACGCACCAATAAGGGACGAGTCTGTTTTTGATGCATCTGTGAATATCAGAACCCAGTTTGCCCATTCATTCCTCACAAGCATGTTAAATTTCCGGTTAGCATCTAAGGTATTCTTGTCGATGCCAAAGTTTAAAATAATATTAGGATTAAAAATTAAAGCATCATAACTGATTGTAAAAAGAGGGTGGTTTTCTAAGCAGAGAACAGAGAAATGAGAGGAATTATATCTATTATAACTATTTACTAATAGAGGATGGGATTTGTTTGACCAATAAGGCGACGAGTTAATGGAGCGAGAAAGGAGACTTAAGGGTTTTAAAATGGGATGAGAGGGGAACTGAACAGCTTGGAGAAAAATCTATCAGCAAGAAACTGTCTACGGATGTTTAAAGGAGGTTCCACGCACTCCACTTGGAGGGCATTAATAGCAGAAGATTTCATAGCCCCAGTAATTATACGCAGGCACTTAGACTGGATTTTATCAAGTTTACCAAGTGCCAGCTTACTGCAAGGCTCCAAAATGAAACAGCCGTAATCAAAGTGGCTACGAATAATTGCATTGTAGAGAATTTTTTGGACGAAAGGATGAGAGCCCCAACGAACTCCCGATAAGGCTCTAAGGACATTGGTGTTTTTCTCACACTTAGAATATATATACTGTAAATGAGGAATACCAGTCATGTTGGAATCAAGGATGACTCCCAAAAACTTTGCCTGGCTCTTAAATAAAATTGGTTCACCATCTACAGATAAATGCAAGAGGGGAATATTCCGTTTTCGACTAAAAATAACTGCATAGGATTTAGGAATAGACAGACTTAGACCGTGATCTTGGAGCCAATCATTTAGATAACCTAAGGCGGTAGTTACTTGAGAACATCCATTAAACAGGGAGGAGCAAGTTGTATACAAGGCTATATCATCTGCATATTGAAGGATTTTACAGAAGCTATAGACAGATAAGTCGAGATCAGCAGTATAGAGATTGTATAGGAGGGGACTTAGTACTGAGCCTTGAGGGAGACCCTTCCGAGACGGGAAGAAAGAAGAGAGCCCTGATAGCGGGCACGGATAGAACGACATGTAAGTAAATTAAAGATAATGTTAATCAGCCTCATAAGGATATTCAGTGTGAGCAATTTCTGCCTAAGTATTGGAAGCTGAACATTATCATAAGCAGACGAGATGTCAAGGAAGATCCCAATAACATGCTTATTACAAGAAAATGCAAGTCTTATATCAGTTGATAGTGTAACTAGCACCCCCCCTTTTATTGTGTATATATATAATTATAACTTATATATTTTTTTCCCCCATTATATGAATAAATCATATAACATCATTACGTGACCAGGATAATTTATTGATCTTTCTATAGGATCTTTCTAAAGGTAATAATTAGCCGTATAAATATTATTGTGATCGTCATATTCGGTAGGACCGCATTTACGTTGTGTTTATTTAGTAACTTGATTCTTTTAAGTGGATCTTGGATAGATAAAATATTCACTAGTCATGGTATAAGCCAGAGATAATGTCAGATTGCTTTCCTATTAACTAACCCCGACTCGCTTGAGACGGGCTCAGAGTATATAGTATACTCCCTCTCACGCTTGTAAAGGGCTCACAATATAATTTTAAAATAATATCCCTTCTCTCTTGAAAAGGGCTCACATCAATTTTACATACCCGATACAAGTCAACAGCTCCCCCACATTTTAAAAAAATGTAGGGAAGGCACACGGCTCCATGAAAACACTCACCAACGCCGTGTGCGGTGAGCGCCAACCAACATATTGCGCCCCCCCCCCCCCCCAGAAGAGGGACAAAAAGTTGGGGAAAGGACCGAAGTCCATTGCAAAGCTGTTTTACCAGCATAAAGAGGGCTTGGCCCCTTGGCAGTGCGTAAGCACAAACTTTGAC